ACACCTCAGGAGACCAAGCAGCAAGAGCCACACCTCAGGAGACCAAGCAGCACCAGGGAGGACGGAGAGCCAGCCCCGTCCCCGGCAACCATCCCCGGCAACCATCCAAGCCCCGAGCCCACCCACAGCCCAGGACCGCACCCGGCGGTCCGCCCTTCTTCAGGACCCCCTCCCCAAATGGCAGTCGGGGAACGGGATGGGAATAAAGACCCTGATACCCACACCCCCACCCCCAGATGCACTGTTGGTGCGTGTTGTTCCATAGAGCAATTAAAAAAAAACATTTGTCCTGGTCTAAGTCTGGTTCACAGTCTTACATAGATATTATGCATTCCTTYGAGAAATGCTGTAAGGCTTTCTTTACACAGTGCATCCAGTATAAAGTTATGCAAGGACATTTTTTTTAACATCACATTGAAAATTCTTCAGCGTGCAGAAACGGAGCTGTGCACCTCTGAACACAAAGGTACATCAGAGACTCAGCATCATAAGAGCTGACAGATGAGTCACGGATGACAGCAGGTTTTCACAGCGATGGCATCGTGTACAGCTGCAGGAGTACATCACAGAGGTGCTACAGAGCCCTGCTGGCTGAGTGAAGGAGGCATCAAGCACCCCGGGGTTGAAGCTGTCACGCCTTGATGCCTGCCTCTCTTCCTCCTCACTCGCTCGGCAGTGATTGACGGACTGAGGAAGGAAAGCAAGCCTGGTGTTTAAAGTAAYGGGTTTGCTCTTTCACTTAGAAACAACGAGTAGCTACAAAGCAAGAAAAACTGTAGAGTTCAGAATCCCTCCGACCGTCACACCTGAGTTGTAGCTCAACAAAATATGAGCTAATTCATTATATAAATGCTGCTTTCTTGTGCAGTCTGAGTGGACTGTAGTTTTAGTTCTCTAGATGTTTTAAGGAAAATGTTTTTGTTCAAATATAACAAGTCTTTAGATCACAAGGACATTATTAAATTGGCGGCAGAGGTTAACATGGGGTGGATGCCCTGCCTTATAAAACAGAATGGAGGTGCTTCATTTATTGAACCGCCTCACTCGGCTGCCAGACGTCAGGCTGACCAAAAAGATTTTCATATAGGACCTTAGTGTGATGGATGACTCATTGTTTTCTTTACTGTCCTGTGTATTCTGTTTTAATATTTTCTCTATTTGAATGTATAAATAGAWGTATTTATCAGAGGATCAAATTTATGTTGGTGTACATGAATATACAATAKAGGGAAATTTTTGCATTTGTTGCTTTTGTCTTTAAAGCTTGGGTTGAGCTTAAGGTTGAAATATTTTTTTGATTCTTGTGATCTGAATGTTGCCATCTTGTTATGTATGTTTTGTGTGTAAACTGTCTTATAAGCCCATGTGGGCTGGGCACCAGAGGTTCATGACACTTAATCAAATATTCAATCAATCARTGATTCATCTTTGGGTTTTATTTTACGTGTATGTGTACAAAAGTCTTTTCTTTTAACCATGTCCTGTCCGGCAGTATGAAACTCAGAATTAATGTCTGAGTGCCAAGGTCATGCCCAACAGTTTTACTTTCACAGGCAGAGAGATACGGCTTTCACTGTGATATTCCACTTGATATTTATTATTTAATTTTATTAGAAATTCTTTTGGGATTATTTCAACATAACGGACACGGAGACGGGAAAGAAAATAGAAAAGAAAAGGAGAAAAGTGAAGAAAAGGTTAAAAGGGAAAGAAGGAGATAGTAAAGAAGAGAAGCATAGCGAGAACACAACCTTTGGCTCCACACCTGCAGAAAGAGAGAAAACAAAACAGAAAACCACAGCAACAAACAACTATAATAATTACTACAGCCTCACTGAAATGTACACCGTATATTTTACAAAGTTTATAAAAATGTATTGGCAAATGCAGTCACAATATAGAGTGTTTAAGAAACATCTGGATCTGAACACCTGTGTGTGTGCGTGTGTGTGTGTGTGTGTGTGTGTGTGTGTGTATGAGCATGTGTGTGTGTATATATATGGTTTTCTTCATAGGGATTGTGGAGACCTATCAGATCTGACCCCTAAGACCTGAGGTAGACACGAGGAAGACCAGTGCCCATACAGTATTTATCAAACTTCTTAGACTTAAGTGCTGAAAACCTTTTAGATTTCCTCCTACTTTCAGACGTAAGTGTAAARGCAAATGATCAAAATTCTTAAATCTAAGAATCACTCTTACTCTCCTGAAAAGTTGAAGCTTGGATTATTCTTCAGTAAAATGTGAGGTTATAGATTACATAATTTTGGACATTTTTTTCCTGATTGAATATAAATGAGTTGAGGACGCGGCAGACTATAAATGATCATAGATCCTCCATCCTGCCCTCCCACAGCTCATGTAAGTAACAGCCATAAAGATGGCTGGATAT